GAAAATTGTGATTCAGATATCTTCACAATGTTGAGCCAGTCGGTTTAGGACTTAAAAAACACTTTGGTACCTATAATAAATACACTCTCGTCTGCACCATTGTTTCTTTTAGCTGATCCAGTACAGTACAACAACTCAAATCTCCTCTCGAGCTTCCTGTAAAAGGCAACAACAAAACCAAATTAGTTCGACGTGGCCATTCCCTTGTATTTTCTTACTTTTCTTTTGAACTCATGAATCACAGAGAGTATCGAAGCAACTAGTTTAGTTCCGCCCGTGTTGTTTGTGCAAGTAATTAAGAATGATACTTTTATTTACAATTGTAAGCTTCTTCAACTTGTTTGCATTTTAAAGACTTAAAGGCACTTAACTGACCAATCATTAACGAGTTCCTTGTTGAGTGAAAACAGCACGCCGTAACGTTCACCTGTCTTCACCACCCAAACTGGAAACTTGGGAGTCTTGAGCATGCTGCCAACCTGGTCAGAGATTGATACAGGAAACAACTTGTTATGTTTTGTATGCACCAGTACTGTCCCAAAAGCTAAGGAAGCTATGAGATGACATGGCTGAATAGAGTACAGTAGAATCCCGCTAACTCGAACTTTCGTACATTAAGTTTGTTTAGGAGCTTTTTGATAAGGACGTTAGTTTGGGAAGTTAAGCTAAATGTATCACCTTTTTATAAATGTTATCACGTTTGTACCAATCGCGATTAAAGACTGGGAAGTGTTAATCAGCTATGTTCTCACACTTTGGCGTTTACTGACCGACGTTTTTACTTAAAGTTCGAGTTGTCAGAGTAAATTTTAGCCGAGGGAAAGTAAAATTAGTTTGAGTTCACGGGGAGTTCAAGTTAGCTAATGGTAAATGACTGGGAAAATGGGGTTAAATCCAAAGGAAATCGGATCTTGATCGAGTTAGCGGGAGGTTCGAGTCAACCGGGCTCGAGTTAGGGGGGTTCTATTGTTCTACTGTATCATCATATTACCTGAAAAGATTTGGGATCAAGATGCTCTTCAAGAGATAAAAATCCAATCTCACTCCGACCTTTAATGCCATTCAGCGGATGGGGCTGTGTATAAGAGAAAGTTACTTGTCAAGGGTGGGTTTCAGAGAAGAGTTTGAAACATCCGTTGTAAAACGAATAAGGCTGAAAAGTGTAAGAGTTAAGTTACCCTTTGGACCCTATGAGTAACCAGCATCTTATTTCTCGTTACTATGATACCGCTCAATCATCCATCAAGATCATGGGAAAAAAGGAAATGATCGCCAACTTAAGAAGCCCTTGATTGTTAAACAAATTCTCCTTGTAAGCACATTTGGGAATGTGTAAAAAAGGTCATGGAGAATATAGATACTGTGTTAGTGTGTAAAGGGTTGAACTGACGATGAGAATCGCCCATAGCCTTTGTAAACATGGTAAGTTACGATGATTCTTTCCTAGGTAAACTGTTGTTTTAAAGATTAATGTTCTTTATAGGCAATATAATGGCTTAGAATGGCAAAGGTAAGCTTAAAATGGCAAGCTCCGGTACTCTAGCTGCTTAATAACAACTAACCAGATAATAAGCTCCGGAACAAAACAAACGATAACAAGACAGCATCCGATCCTGTAAAGTTCTCTTCCCCTTACCAGTTTTCGTCCTCTTTTATTGAACTCGATATCACCGTTAAAGACATTGGCGGCTGCTCTGCCAGTTAGCATCAAGCTAATCATGGCCTGTGTTGTGAGGGAAAAGAAAAATGAACTACACAGTCAGATTGAGAAAACACGCATTTACTAAAGTTCACAAAAACAGGTATTCAGATCTTAAGTTTCTCCGCTCACGATGAGTCCATACCGCGACTGTTGCCAATTGAAAAAGAAAGCACCTTGATTCGAAAAAGTTCTGTATGTTGAACTGTTTCGAAGGAACTTCCTACCTGAGAGCATGAGTCGTGAAGACCCATCAAAGTGGAATTCGGGTCTCCTAGATCCTCAGTTACCCTGTAAATACAAAGATTAGAAATATTTAGCAAGTTGAGAAAATGCTGGCCACGTTGTTAAGGATTACCCGATGGACTCTGGATCGAGGGGTATGAGTCCGAGCCCTGACCGGGTCGTTCAGATTTATTGCTGGGAAGGAAACGAAATGCTGGGGGATAACCTGCGATGGTTTAGTTTTCTTTACTTTGCTTTGTGATTGGTTCTGAAAACTTGCGCTACTTTCTCAACCAATCAAATTCAAGCTAAAACCAATAACGACTTAGTCGCCTGTGTTTTCCCGCGCTTTAGGTCGTTTGGTTGATTCTACTTTGAGTTCTCATTTTCTCTTTATAGCCGTTGTGGCTGTTGGTTTTGGTTTTATGACTTTCAGTGGAAAAGAGCTCTAAAAGCTACATGTTTTATTAATTGACAGAATGTTTACAGCACATCCACGGCGTACCTTTCAATTGATCTGGACAGAATAACCGAATACAAAAACAGAATGCAACCATTTCCGTTTGTGCTTTCAAACTACGAAAGAAAACATAAAGAAGTTACCAAAGATGACTGAACAGCATAGCAAAGACGAGAAAGAGAGAAAGGGAACGAAAAAAAAAACTTCGAAGGGAAGCGCGGACTGCAAAAGCTGACCGAGAAGGGCGAGGGAGCTCTGTGCCGGTTTACGGTTACTTCGCCCCATGGCTAGATCACCCATAGTCAGATCGCTCATACGAGAGTCAGTTCGCTCTATCCATAGAAAAATCTACATTCAGCGTAATATACGTCACTTAAGAAAGGCCACAGGCTACAATACACGCCTTCCACGCAAAAGAAAGATGCACCATTTTAAAACGCAGTCTACCCAGCTCCACCCGGAATTGGGTTTGAAATCGATTAAAAATGGCGGACCTCGTTTAAAAACGCACTTTCAAAAAATAATGATAAGAGGCAGCAGCAATTAGGAACTAGAGAAGATGGAGGACACAATATTTTAACGCAATCGTAGATAGCACAACAGTTCGCCTCTTTGTATTAAATATGTTGTGTTTAAAATGGAACATACTGTGATCTCTAGATTCGTCAAAGAATATTTCGACAAAAAAATACTAAGATACAAATAAAAGATAACCAAATACTTTCCGTTAACACAACCATACCTCTCTAGATTGTCCATTAAAAGCTAGAATCAGAAAGCGCCAAGTACTTACAAATGATAAGTGCTTCTTCGTGAACCTTTCCAGTTGGGAAAACTCGGTAAATCTGAACTGGTGAAGCTTTAAATTCAGACAAAAAAACTTTTTTCCTTATAATCATATCTTATAAACTGTCTGAGCTTTCGTTTCTCACTCAATACCCAAAGTAAAATGAAACAACCTAAGTGAAAAATGTTAGAGAACCCCACCCCAGCGGGACCCCACCCAATCACGAGTACTTGGGTGGTTGAAAGTATTCAAATCGAAAAAAAACTTTACGCCAGGGAAAACCACCGCTAAGTTTATGAAGATCGAAGTGACTAGAGGGTTTTATTCCACCCTTACCCCAGCTTGCAGTGCAGGTGTCTTATTTCGGCGAGTTAATGTTAGAAGATCGCGATCGTTTATCCAACTGGCCATGGTTGATTCAGAGTTAGAGTCGGTGGACGGTGAGGGAGGGGGCAGGGAAATGCGAGGTAATTTCTATTGCCCCACCTCCTCCCCTCTCCTTTCTTTTAACCGACGCTCACCCCCTTGGTACGAATTTTTTTCTCCCCAGCGTTCCGCTACTATAAAAATCAAAGATGTCAGCAGCAACTTTCACCAAGAAAATACTTAGCACTCGCTCACCAAAACTACGCCTTCTTTGCCAACTACCCACATCCCTTTTCAGTCTAATACACAATGTAACAGCATCTGCAACTGGTGATATTACTCTTTGCGAGGAGCACAAGCCCTCCCTTTTTTAATCACGGCTTTTTTTTATTAATAATTCTTCCACCTTTCGCGAAATACTGACCATCGTGCAATTTACGTAGCCAACTCAAAAAGAAGCATCGAGTACCAGCTAGTAAAAGCAAGTGACGACAGAATCGAATAAGCACATTAAGATAAAACTCAAAACTTTAGTGATGTGCACCTTTTCCGTGAGCTGATCTTCTCTGTAGTCGTCCATTGTCGCCCAGTTACACTCACCGCACGGCCTGAAATAAAAAATTTATCGATCATGGGCGCTCACGAAATTGGAAAGCGCAGAGATACTTACGGAGTGTGTACCCATTGAAGGCTAAGGAACTGGATGATGGATACACTTATAAATTTTCTGTTACGCTGACTCAACCTCTATAGCTTGTTCCAGGCGTCCAGTTAGTAAAACGGAACGAAATAGTCAACGGCACGATAGTGGCGGTAGAGCAAAAGCGAGGGAGATTTGGGTCGGGTCATTCATTACGCGACCCGTTCCAGACCTCCCTCTCTATTTCACTTCCCCGCCGCTATAGCGCCCTTTATTTTCGCATTGAGTTTTACTACCTAAGCACCTAGAATAGGCCTATTAACGATTTCTCTGAGCTCCAAGGTGTGGGGTTCGATTCTCTATTTTGCTTTCCCACGTTCATGACATAAGGAATGAAGTTTTAATCAAAGTTTGACATTTTTCTTTAAGCGACAACGTAAACTTTCGGCCTCGTCGCCTGACTATGACAAGCAGTATAGCAGCTGAAACGCTTCAGTCAATGCAATTGATTAGCCTGAATCTTATATCGTGAGACAAACAATCAAATGCTTATTTTTCTACGAAACCACGATGAACAACAACATTTCCCATAACATACAATTTGTAACACTCACAGTACTACCGTTGCGCGCTGTTGGCCTCCTGCTTGCCAGAGGATCTTCGTCATGGCTGTAATTAGTGCCTTCTGACGGTCAGGCGACATTGGTCTCAACATACTACGGAACAAAAAACCAAAGGTATTTCTCATTCAGAGAATTCCCATTCAAATACTTCTCGGTATCTCCCTATGCGAGAATATCAAAACCATGACTTTGCATTTCTTTTTTCTTTAACAAAATAGCTATTCTGATTGATTCAAACAAAATTTAAACTTATTTCGTGACACTGCATAATCGAGACTCTACTAGTTACTGATAATTTTTCTTAGAGAGAATTCGTCACGGTTTGCCGACAAAGGAAAATCTGACCTCAATTTTTTCAAATTCTTCGTTTGAAATCCGTGTTCACACTCAGTGAGCCATTTTATGTTAGAGAGGGTTGGGTAACTCGGCGCTGGATCGAGTTTGTTTACTGACAAACATTCTTCACAATTCTCTTTTGTACAAGCAATAATTCAGAACACATCGTTTCCAAATGGCCCAACAACCCTAAGAAGTGTAAACACAGTCTCTACACACGTTTGGTACACGAAACAAATCAAACCAGTCGACACCAAAAATAAGATGAAATACCAATCCATGCGGGAAAATCAAATGATTTTTACTCTCTTTCTCAGAATGGCACTTTGAGAATAAAACTGACCCCATCTACTCATCAGCTCGAGATTTCAAACCACATCTCCTAAATTTGCCTTTAATCGATTGTTGTCCTGGTTACCTTTTCACGTGTTCAATGGACGGCTGGTCGTACAACAAGAATCTCAACAGGAATCCCTGCAAACATGCCATGATCCCGTCAGGCCCCAACTACGGAAGTGAGTGAACAAAATATTAAAACGATAGTCTCCGTTTGGCTCAAAAATAAGCTTGGATAACATTTCATTGTTGATCATTTAGCCATCGAATAAGTTCCCAATGGTCAGATAGTCGATAGTCGATAGTCTCCGTTTGGCTCAAAAATAAGCTTGGATAACATTTCATTGTTAATCATTTAGCCATCCAAAGAGTTCCCGACGCTCATTTGAAAATTGCTCTCGATAATACATCCAAAAAGTTCCCAACGCTCATTTGAAAATTGCTCTCGATAATACACTGGGCCAGGTTGTTCATGATAAGATGTAGCTGAACTGAACCTCGGTTCTGTGTGAACTTTTCACATGGTTTAGTAATTTTTCTTTCATACAAATTACTATTCGCATCATTTGGTTTCTTTTAAATCTGCCTCACAACTGACCACTGCATAAAATCTCACCTAAATTTAACTCCAATAAATACTTCGCGCACGGAAAGTCAAACTATAATTTGAACCTCAGGTTGGCGCTGACCACCTCTCAAACAACCGGCTCTCTTTACCCCCCAAGTTACCTTATAGAAGCTTAGAGCGTAAGACTTGTGCGAAAAGAAGTTGATATGCTGTCTTCTCCAGTCAGAGTTGAAAGACGTGTACGGTGTACCAAATAATAACACACGGAGGGCCTGGAAAGTGATTGAAAGGACGTTTAAACCTTTCCACTGAAATATTTAACCATCAAGGTTCTCACAGTACACTGACGGTCATCGATACTGTTCTCAAAATTTCAGATCTGAGAATTTGGTGGTAAATTAAACAACACCCTCTCTAACTGATATTTTTCTTTCATCTCGTCAACTTTACAGTTGAAAATCATTATTGATAATTCCGTTTTGGTCACTCCTGGGAGTGAGTACTTGGTGAGGATCTGAACACTGACTATTCCCCAGTCGTCTTCAAAGCAGAAGCCAACCAACGCGAGTAGAATTGGAGGGAGAAGTGTGCGCCGCGCACTTTTTGGAGGCAACCGAGGATGAGTCAAACCTGATCCCCAGGCTGTACCGACTAATTTTGCGCCCGGAAGCTCTAACAACTGAGCTACAGAGAACTCAGTGGTAAGCTTGTCCAATCGAACAACATGAAAATATCACAAGGGGGCACTGAGAACTGAAACAAGGTTAAAGCCTGAAGCGTGAGAAAACGCGAGAAAACGCGGAAACGCGAGTGACCAAGACGCGACTGATTTGAGTAATGAATCTGATTGGCAGAGAAAAGCAAGTTTCTGGACTTAGCACATGGTGAATTCAAAGCAAAACAAAAGCAATTCCAGATAACTTGCGACAATCAAGTTAAAATTATATCATTCTATGTAAAAAGCGCCTCAGAAATTCCCAGGAAAGGTTATCTCGCATGTGTTCTAGGTAGAGATTGAATAATAATCGGCATGTCCCGAACGGATTCGAACTCCAAAAACAGTGGATCTCACTCAAATCAATTTTTGAAGATTTGCCATAGAACTAAAGCAATATCTACGACGCATGTCTTACCTTGGCCACCTCCAATGTGATTGGATCCCCACCCGGCACAGCTGGTTTAACGGATTCTGTGGCGCGTTCTCTTTCCAAGGGCTTTCTTTGACTGGAAGAATTTTGTCTCTTAGGGCGGGATGAAGAAAGTAACGGTCCAATGTCTACCGGTTAAAGTAAAACAAAATCATTTCGTAAGTTTAAGGGTTGACATAAGCAGACGCCTTGATCGGAGAGAATCTTCTACCCAGGTTCCTCTTAACAAAGTCATTCGAGATTGCAGTAGTTTTTCTTAATTTCGGGAGTCGTCATCAAATTAAAAAAAAAATAGCTTTTGGACACAAGAGGATTCTAACTCCGCATTTGTTGTAAAAAGTAACTGGTTTGAACAATACCAAGCTAGATGGCCACTTTTGAGAGGCTGCTCACTTGTAAACTCATGTCCTCA